CCTCGTCATCAGTTTCTTGAAAAGCATCCACAACGCAAAACACATATATTGGCACAACGATCGCAACAAATAATACCCGTCTTAATTGGACCACAAATACCTCGACGAGAACGGGAAGATACAAGAGCATATTCATCGATGAAATGTCAATGGTTGGCCTGTATCTTTTATCACAAATACATAAACTCTTGTGTATTGCAAAAAGCAAGTCAGATGAGCCGTTCGGAGGGATCAACGTGGTATTTTTCGGCGATTTTATCCAATTTCCGCCCGTGTTAGACAAGCCATTATATCAGGATATGTTGACAGGAGAAAATAGTACGAGAAAAAGATCGAAGCAAAAAACCGAACGTGATACTTATTATGAAGTCGGGCGTGCACTTTGGTTACAATTGAACACGGTAGTTCAGTTGGTGACACAAATGCGAACTGATGATCCTGCATTTTTAGCAGTTCAAAATCGATTACGTTTGGACGCAAAAAGAAAGTCCCGCTTACGTTTTGTTTCGTCACTGCATAATACTAGAAAAACAGCCATATACTGAGCCATATACTCACCTCACCCAATAGTCGTGTAGACATTAAAATGGGATATGGGACATTGGAGATGGGGATCCTTTTCTCTGCTATCATCGGTAAGTTCAAGCCAATAACTTTTCTTCTTAAAGTGCCAACAACAACAGTGACCACGTCTGCTCCTCTACCTCTTTGTGGACTAGCGGCTCGATGGAACCTTCAAGGCATTACTGTCGCCGGTATGAGTGATGGTACGGGCGGTACATTGTTGAATCAACTGTCGCAACCTGAGGATCTTGAAATAGATCAGTATCAAAATCTATATATTGCTGACACTGTTAACAATCGTATTGTGAAATGGTCACAAGGTGTCACATAAGGTGAACTGATAACCGGTGGCAATTTGTTTGCCAATGGTCCTCATCAACTAAATTATCCTTATACATTATATTACCCATCAAGTTTAAGAATTGATCTCAATGATCAACTCTATGTTCTAGATACACTTGACGCACGTGTATTGAGGTTTAATCTAAACGATCTAGCAACCTTGCCAGCACCATTAAATGGCACAACAATTCTAAGCTTTTTTGATGACGAATGTATGTCTATGTATTTAAATAAGCAAACAGGTGATGTCTATGTTTGCGAGCAGTTCAATGCACGTACTGTTTTATGGAAACAAGGAAATAGTAGGACTATGTCGTTGTTGCGGGTGGTAATGGGTATGGCAGTAATCAAAATCAATTCAATCAACCAAGTGGTGTTTATGTTGATGAACGAACATTAACCGTTTATATAGCTGATACGTATAATAATCGTATACAAAAATGGCTTGAAAATTCCACAACAGGTATCACTGTGGCCGGTATTGAAGATACCAGTTCGGGAACACAAACAAATCGACTTAAATACCCCATGAGTGGTTTGATTGTTGATCGAGAAGGAAACTTATACATAAGCGATACCAATAATCAACGTATACAACAACGGTTAGTAAACGCAACTGAAGGACGAACAATGGTGGGTAGTGAAGATGGTATTGGTAGTGCAGATTCGAATAAATTAAACAGACCCAAGGGGATTAGATTTGATTGGCAATATAGTTTATATGTTACTGATAGTGGCAATAATCGTGTGCAAAAATTTAACTTAATTGACAATGGTTAAGAATTCAAGATTTTATGTTATGATGATCAGGCGTTGTGAATTTACATGCTGTACGAGTACGAAAAATTTAGTGAAAAATTAATTTAAGATATTCGTGTTTTGAAAAAATGTTTAATTTTGAGTTGAACATATTCTAAGGTAAAGGGAAGTCTGGACTACAAAATGAGATCATTCTCAGCATTCCATGATCCTAAATCAAGAAGTTACGAATTTTTTAACTTTTTTCTGCACAGCCTTGAAAACCTCAATTTTTTAGTTTCATAAATTTTTCCTGCCTTTCCGGCACAGACTTTTCGTGGAGATATAGGCTTCGCCGGAAATGCTTTAGAAACAAGTACTCTTTGTACAAAATGTGTTTTTCCCAGTATGCGTTTTTTCAATAACTTCTTCAATTCAGTGACATTATGCTGTGGTCCGATCGAGCTGAAACTGTTGCTACAGATACTTTAGATTCTATCTCAGGTTGCAGATTTCTTTTACGCGTTGTCGATTTCAACTTTCAGCGTGAGAAGACTTTAAAATAAAAAACCGACTTTTCATATGGAACTTTAGTATTTTTCGAATATCTGTAGAAGGAAAGCGTATTTTTCGACAAGAAAAGTTTTAAACGTGAGATTAGGTCTAGAAGTCTCTGTAGTCAAATTTTCAGCTGAATCAGACCATTTTTTCGACGGATCGTAATGTGACTGGATGAGAGCTCTCAAGAAAATCCATAGAAGAACATGTCAAACAATTCTGGGCAAAAATGCATAAATTTTCTTTTTTGATGTTCTATCTCAGGTATATATTCCGAGAAAGAACAAAAAAACACACTTTGTTGACTGTTTCACCAGTTTGAACTTTTACCAATATATTCCATGATCACTCGCCAATTCGCGAAAGTCAAGACAACCTTCGACTATTGACAAACGTCTACTTGGGGAAAGTCATATTGGCACATCTCCATGGCTCCAAATCGTGCTGCTTAACATATCGTACTGGTGATATGGCGGACTCACTGACAGTCAGACATTGTATTTCACATTCCGTAGACTGCGAATCACGGTATCTTACCAGCAAAAATACCGCTGTTTATGTGTTTTTGTCCAATGTCGAATTTTTATGTGAGAAACTGCTATCGGGTGTTTGATACTTTCGAAATCCAAATCCTACGTTTGTAATACCGAACGTTTTCAGAATGCTGTTTAAACTCGCAACGAACTTCTTTTATTCACTTCCTAGATAATATAAGCAAATATTCGTGTCAAACTTACAGCTGGTTCTGAAGGATCAATGATGTCTATGTCGCAGTGTCTTTCTAGTGCAACTTCGATAGTTCGTTTTACTAACTAGGATTAAGCATGCACCAATACAATCTATTGGTTTTCACAATATTATTGCGTATTGGGTCGCTTGAGTTCAGCCTACTTTTACAGTACACACGCATGCTCTATATCGCGTTTTGAATCAAAATATAACCAAATTGGGCATGCATCGATTTACAATCGATGTTAGGGCATCCAGCAAATTCATTCCGAATCCGTTAGTGCCTAATGTCTCATTATGCAGAAAAATGTTTGCTCTACCAAACTGATGCGCCAGAAAAATCTTAATGTTATATATAGAGATATATGATGATCGAAAACGCTCTAAAATCGCAGAAAAATAGTCGATAGTCGGTTATTTTCCCAATTTTGCTCAGTTTTGGGTGCGTATATTTCTGTCACAGATAACACTAAAATTTTTCTAGCACTCCAGTTTGGTAGAGCAAGCAGTTTCCAGCATAATGAGACATTTGGGAGCTTCAAGTGTTTTTTCATAACTGATTCGGAATGACTTTGCTGAATGCCCTAACATCGATTATAAATCGGTGGATGCCTGCTCCCGATCGGGATACACTTTTATATCCCAATTAGGATATATAGCTCGATCGGGATATATATCCCGATTGAGATATGCTTCCTTACGTTATTATGAATGTAAACGGTATTAAGTTTTAAAAGGTCGAATCCAGTGTATTGTGGAACCAAATATTACTCAATAATATTATACAATATCTTCAACAATGATTGGTACCCCCCATAATAGAAGACCATCCCCTATTAGAAGACCACTGTCAAGTATATGATTTGAAAGCCAAATAGAAGACCATGGTCTCCTGACTCCTAGAAGACCACTGGTCTTCTATTCCACTGGCGGGGGGGGGGGATTTATTGGTGCCCGCCTAACTTGGATGGATAGCCGTTCGCGTTAAGAATGATTTTAGGGCAAGAAATTTTATTATTTAATAATCGTTTTTGTGAGTAAATTCGATTTGCTCGAATAACAAGATATTTAATTGTAGCAGTCTTTTGATGTTTCGGTGACCCAGGGTCCCATTTTATGTATAGATTAGTGCATGTTTTCTGTCTGTATACCATTAAGTCGAGATGATCTGAATGTTTCTGATCACAAGTAACCTGCACCTTCAATTCACTGTTCTTTGACTGAAAATGCGTTTTTGAAAAAGATATGGTTTTAAAATGGGCAGTTTTAATGAAAAAGAGAAACATCAATTATCGTTTCTTTTTTCTTTGTTTATATGTAAGATTATATCGGATTGAATGATATATATGACGTGTTGAAGGACATATTTACAAGGATTAAGTTCATTCCACTGATAAATGCGTGAACATTATGGTAGCAGTATGCTTCCACATTAATTGCTGGGTGAACATATTGATTTCAGCAAGAAGCATTTTGATTCCGGTAAATTGATTGCAGTAATTAACATCGAAACATATTGATTCATAATGGCATATATGAGCTTAGATTAATTACTGGAATCAACATGTTTCCGCACTAATTACTTCGATAAATCACATCATTCTTTATACACGTTTTCTTTCTTTCCTTATGCTCGCATCTACGAATCGAGTGCGTTACTCCATCACAAGCACATGACTCACTGCTTCATAAGTTTCTAAGGTCTGTTCTAATATTTCAGTGTTGCTAATAATTAAGACCAACTCCCTTTCTACTAGATGGATACAGCATTAGAGCGAAACATTCCCTAACATATAACATTATTTTGTTCCGTGCTACACGTACGTTTCACTTAATAACTGCAATGAAAACATTTTCCGATCTTCTTTGGTATGTATGCATAGAACCCACAAAGCTATATGCAAAAAATTGAATACTACATAACTTTTTGACAATCTGACTAAACCAGCAAATGTTTGCAACAGCTCTTCATGACAGGCGTCGCAACTATGCAGTCAGCGAAAAAAAAGTGAAACAATCAACGCGAAATCCATTCTGAACCACAAACTTTGTGTGTAACCCACAAAAAAATCACAGAACCTACGCAAATAATAACAAACTACCACCAAATTCATACAATCTTATCATGATTGGATCAAATCACGAAAAAATCGCACGTTCCCATGACTAAAACGTGGAAAAAAAGACGCGATTCGTCACCCGCTAAGTAACCGACTATGGCACATCTGACGGGCATATGCACGCCGTCTCCAAACGGTCTCTAGAGGGTCTTCGGAAGACCTTCAGAAAACCTCTTCATTAAAAAGCGAATTTTGACCAATAGTATTGCTGCTAGTGGTCGCTTATAGCCATTTTCTGACTCTTTATGCTCGATTACCTACACTGTATCATTTTCATGACCGACACTCTTACACTTGCCCAGTATTTTTCTACTATGCGGACGCCGACATTTATTTCACATCAGACTTTCAATGTAGTGAAAGACATCTACGAATGCTAATTTATTATCTCATTCACAAAACACACATGCACAACTGAAATTGATCGCATTCAAAGTTCGATACAAAATAACGCAGACTATCATTTCGTGCCATTGTTTGAACATTTTTAAGAGCGTATGTTGCAACCGTAGTCTAAAATGAAACGGAAACACAGGAATGATCAGTGAAACCTCAAGAGATAAAATATAAACAAACCAGTGGAAGTTCATAACTCCAAAAGCATAAATATTCATTGACTTTAGTATAAAGTTGTTCTTCAAAAGATTCACATGGTTTTACTAATAAATTTCCTGTGAAAAGTTTCAAAGAATAGAGATCGCGAAGATAATATTATTAATCGATTATTACTAGCGTGGTCTAGTTAGATTGAACTGTTCTTCTTAATGAACCTGAGATGTCCTCCTCAAGATTTTTCGCATTATGACAACGCAAAGTCCAATAGAAGAACACCTGTTCTAAAACATCAACTATTTCACTGCTTCAGAAAATCTTTGAATGTATTGACCAATTTCTATTTCCACTGAATATTGATGTTACGAAGACAAACAAAACATAATTACAATTCTGTTAATGCACGATGATTATCCGAATTACTAAAAAACATCAAATACTAGTGCCGATGTAGTGTCGATGTCAAAAGAGATAATATTTTTTCCCCCTCAACGAGAATCCTCTCCTAGCTCTCTCACCCTTAGCAAACAAATCTCAAGTGAAAAAACATAATAATACGATACGATAAACACGTGATAAATCCTATCGAACTTTATTGGACTGGGCTTAAGAGTTATGTACGAAGTCAAAATGTTTCATCTAGTCTCAATGAAGTTGGACAGCTAGCCAATGAATGGCTAGCAGCAGTAGGTCCTGAACACGACACACCATATTTGAACATGTGAAAAAACATTAAGAAATATTCAAAGCTGCAGACAAAATTGCAGAAGAGTTGGAAACGGACTTAATCGATGACGATGATGCTGCCGAAAATACAGTTAATGAAAACAGTAGCAGTGATGGATGAAAAGAGGGATAAATTTGAAATAATGCATGTTATTTTTAATTGTGCATCAAAATAAAAGTGATTGCGTTCGTGTGGTTAATGAATACTACTTGTAAAGATAAAACAAACATTACCATTGTGATTAGCAGCATTGATTACCCGTATCCCATGTATTTTTTATGTATTTATAGAGAAAAAAAGCGTTCATTTTGGTACCTGCAGGAAATCTGTGCCCCTGACCGAACTATAAGTTTTCA